AATGTCAAAATAAAAATTTTAAAATATAAAAAATTGTAATTTGTTCTAAATAATTTGAAGATATTTTTTTGAAAGATTTTGAAAATTAAGTATCCAAATTTTAGTAAAACTGTCTCGCCGTTTCTTCTCCATTCCCCCACTCCACCTCTTCCCTTCGATCCGGAGCTCGTGAAAACTTCACTGAGTAGATTTTTTGGATCGCACGCTACGATGTCGCTGAGGCCGAGTGAAAGGACCGAGGTCCGCCGGAGCAAGTACAAATCGGCGGTGGACGCCGAGGAGGGCCGTCGCCGCAGGGAGGACAACATGGTGGAGATCCGCAAGAGTAAGCGCGAGGAGAATCTGCTTAAGAAGCGCCGCGAGGGGCTCCAAGGACAGCAGTTTCCTACCTCCGTCCCCGCATCCGCCTTAGACAAGAAGGTATATATTTATTCACATGAGATTCCGTCGCCAATTTGCTTTGGTACATCTGGATTTTGCGTTGCTACTTATTCGGATTTGAATGATTTCTACTTGGTTGACTATTTGAGCTTTATAATTGCTGAAGTGCAGATAGAAAGTCTTCCTCGAATAGTAGAAGCTGTTTGGTCAAACAATAAAGAGTTGCAGCTTGAGGCAACCTCACATATCCGGAAATTGCTCTCGATTGGTATCTATGTTTATTTTTATGTCTAGGTTCATACACTTTTGCATTTATTCACTCCAATGTTACATATCTTGCATTTCAATTGCCAGAAAGAAGTCCCCCCATTGACGAAGTTATACAATCTGGAGTGGTCCCTCGATTTGTTGAGTTTCTGGCTAGTGAGGAACCACAGCTTCAGGTGAGTTGACTTCAAATCCCTTTTCTGTTGCATAATTACACACCTACTTGCAATTAATTGCTTTTGTGTAGTTTGAAGCTGCTTGGGCACTCACAAACATTGCCTCTGGGACCTCGGAGAATACCAAAGTCGTTATTGATCATGGGGCTGTTCCAATTTTTGTCCAGCTTTTGGCTTCCCCTAGTGATGATGTTCGTGAGCAGGTACTTTTATTGTTCATACGCTTTGGTATGCAACCTTATAGCCCATTTCGTAATGCCTAACATTCCTTTAGCGGTTGAATTATTTTAGTTTGTAGCTGAAGTGGCTGAATGAATATGACTTTTTCAAGTGAATCAAAGTCAGTAATAGTCGAAAATTGACTAGTGCTTGGTTAAAAATTCTGACTGATCCAAAAAATGCACAGCAAACTGGCACTTAGCTTAATGTTCAGTTATTGGTTTATGACATGTTTTTTGTTGAGGCTGTAGGCTGTTTGGGCCTTGGGAAATATTGCTGGGGACTCTCCAATGTGTCGTGATCTTGTCCTTGGCCATGGGGCATTGATTCCTTTACTGACTCAAATGAATGAGCACGCGAAGCTCTCAATGCTGAGAAATGCCACATGGACTTTATCAAATTTCTGCAGGGGCAAGCCTCAACCTCCATTTGAGCAGGTTTTGTGGATTTATTTTCACTAACAGTATATGTTTATTTAAGGGATAGTCTTTGTTTTTTTTGTTATGGACTGCATTTAATTATGATTGATGTATTTTGCAGGTGAGACCGGCACTTGCAGCTTTGCAGGGCCTTGTTCATGCAAATGATGAAGAGGTTTTGACTGATGCATGCTGGGCACTCTCTTATCTTTCAGATGGTACAAACGACAAAATTCAAGCTGTCATTGAGACAGGTGTTTGCCAAAGACTGGTTGAACTTCTTCTGTAAGTTATTTTCCTCTTATTCTTATTACGGAGTAATATCATTATTATTATCATCATTATTTTAAATGAAATTTTCATACATCATTGTTTTAACTTTCAGCCACCCATCTCCTTCGGTACTCATTCCTGCCCTTCGTACTGTCGGAAATATTGTTACCGGAGATGATGTTCAAACTCAGGTACATTTGCCTTTTCGTGGCCTTTCAGTTGGTTGGTTTAACACCAACACACCATTGAAAATGCTTTATTTGCAATATTTCTGGGTTTATATGGCATCCTTAGTGAATCGGTTATTGTTGAATTTTAAAATGTGTTTTTTTTAAATAAAAAATATTTATGAGATCATTCCTTTGCACATCATTGTATGTGTCTTCAAGGGGAAGCTTATTATCTTTATCTCTTTCATTCACTAATTCTCATTCTTTGCAGTATTCCTTTTTATAAAAAAAGAGACCCTTGATCCCCAAGATGAATAATGAATATTCCTAGTGTCTATACAGGACCTTTCAAATTTTTACTGACTTCCCTAACATATTTATGATTTGGGCATAAATAATTTTCTACTTCTTTAGACCACTTCCCTAACAAATTTCATATTTTGAGTATTGTATTTTTTTCCTCCCTATTTAGTGCATAATTGATTGTGGTGCACTCCCATGCCTGTTGAGTTTGTTGGTTCATAGTCACAAAAAGAGCATCAAGAAAGAAGCTTGCTGGACAATTTCCAACATAACTGCTGGGAATATGGCCCAAATACAGGCTGTGATTGATGCTGGATTAATTGGACCTCTGGTTAATCTGCTTCAAAACTCTGAATTCGACATCAAGAAAGAAGCTGCTTGGGCTATATCAAATGCTACTTCTGGTGGAAACAATGAACAAATTAAGTATGACATTTTGTCCCTATTGTGTTCAATTTGGTGTGCTTCATGTTACATCAAGTTTTGACCCTTTTTTGTGAATGTTTAGGTTCTTCGTTACTCAGGATTGCATAAAACCTCTGTGTGACCTCCTTGTATGTCCTGATCCAAGGATAGTCACTGTGTGTTTGGAAGGGTTGGAAAACATATTGAAAGCCGGGGAAGCAGAAAAGGAAAACAACGAAGACATTAATAATTATGCACAGTTGATTGATGATGCTGATGGTCTGGAGAAGATTGAAAACCTACAGAGTCATGACAACACTGAAATATATGGGAAGGCAGTTAAAATACTGGAGACATATTGGTTAGATGACGAGGATGAGACTTCGCCTACGGATGATGGAACTCAAAATGGATTTAATTTTGGAGGAAATGATGTTAACGTCCCTGCTGGTGGATTCTCTTTTGGCTGAGTGTGAGTTTATTAGACTTAATTCTTTTCCCTTAAGTTTTTTTCTCACTTTTGTTCTGCATTTACTCATCTGAATGGTGATATATCACCGTGTCTATATACTCCGTATACCTACAATACCTAAAAATGGATAGAGGTATGCTTGCCAATTTATTAGGGGTTGAGTGCTTTCTAAATCATAGCGGAAATGATTGATTTCTTTTAAAAAATAATGGTTTAATTTGATTTCTCTTTCTCTCACAGCATATAAAGAAGTTGAGACGGGGAATTTCAAGTCCAGATTGAGGAAGATGTCTGGGTGTCTGAGGTCGTCTCGAGTCAGGTCAGCTAACCTCCCGACAGTTGGGTCAGTATGGGTCCGGTCCGGTCAAGTGTCATTGTCGTGGTGGTTCTGGAGGTGGCTAAAGTATGGGGTCTTGTCATCTGAAGGGGATGCAAAAATAAAACAAAAGCGATGTGCTTGTGGATGCATCTCTTTGGGAATACTGTCCCCCATCCTGATGCCTAATACTACCCTTCATTTCTGTGCCTGAGAGAGTGAGTGTTGTGTTGAAGGGATATATGTTTATTGTCCTTGATCGAGTTTACGAAATGATGAGTCATGTTCTTTAAATTTACTTACGTGTATTTTTTGAGAGGGATGTGTAGAGTTTTATTGGTCAATTTGCAATGAATCATACACCAAATTTTACCGATTGTAGAGGGTTTTTTTTCATTCAAGTCTCTGAACTTTAGTTTATCTCGAGAAAATACCTAAGCCTAATTATATCTTTCATCAAAAAGATTTTAGCTGGTTATCGGTCATTTCCTGGTCACTGTGCTTACTAGTACCCCTCAACCTTAGTCATTACTAACTAAAGTCACCCTATGCGAACACATTCCACAAAGCTTGCCCAACAATAGACACAAGCAACCAATGTGCCAAGCTTAGTGTATTGAAAGCCCGAAATGTACTCAAACGCCAAAATAGACTCTGGGTGTTCGGTTGAGGGATATTTGGAGTTCAGACCACCCCGGAAACGGGCCAACATGGGGGACATGGGATGAGTGAGATGTATTATGTACTAATGTTTGGTTCCATAGTTTATTTCTCCGTTCCTAAATAAGCTTTCCATTTCAGATTATGATGTTTGATCAAAGTTATTTTAAATTTAATTTCTATGAACGTTAGTTTACAATACTAAAATTAAATTTATATATTTAAAAACTTCAAATGTTCTATCATGAATAAGTTGTGACAAAATCATTTTATTTCTTGGAAGGATCAAATAAAATAATTAAAGAAAGACAATATAATTTGATCTTGCAAATATTTAATGAAATACTCCGTCCAAAATCAACTATGAACTATTTAAGGATAGAAAGAGAAATATTTAATACCACTCCATCCAAAATCAATCTTCCTTCTTCCTTTTTTTTGGTTTGTCCAAGATAATTTTTACTTTCATTAAAAAAGGATATATAGCTAATCATCAATTATCACTAGTGTTTCACTATTCAATACTAGTCTAAACCCTGTGAAAAAGCACAGAAGATTATTTTAGAACGGAAGTAGTAATAATGATGTTGGAAATCTGGTGATAGTGAGATTTGGTTCCTACCTTAAGCTCTTTGGTGTGGGTTGGTGAAGGTGTTCTGCGTCTGAGGTGAACGCCGGTCCCGAAGTGGAACACCGCCCCCCCCCCCCTTAGTTTAGTTTTTAATTTTTAATTTTTAATTTCTAATTTCAGATTTTATTCTTCAATTTTTAATTTTACTTTAAGTAAACAATTAAATCAATAATTATAAAAGCATTTATGAATTATGACCCCGATTAATATAGATTTGATTCCCACTCCCTAACTTATTTTATAGGAACATTTATGACCGATATATGAAACCAATGAATACTAGGTAAAAGTGTAAAACAACTGGGGTTAAACAACAAAACCTTTTATAACCAATGAAAATACCTTAAAATCCTTACATGACATAATAGGTACGATAAATACAAGATTTAAGGAGCTACAATAAGTATCAACATAGGGAGACAAAAAAAGGCAGTTCAAATAATACCAATGACAAAAATGAGAGAACTGAAGATAAGTTTGCACTCTTTAGTAACCACAAAGGTCAAGGCTCATTTTCCTCTTCCTCGCGAGCTTCAGCTGCGGCTATCAATGAATCCAATGTGTTGGCCAACTCATCGCCCACGACCCGTGCTTTGTTTATCATGTCAAATATGACAGCGGGGTCTAATGCCACACCACCTCGTTTACTCAAACCACATATATGACCTTTCCTGTTGACCGAAATGGACACGGCTGAGCTCATTTGGGACTCCTCTTCAGTAGTGGCATCTACAATACAGTGCCTCCCGACCTGCATATTTACATTCGTCTATTAATTGCTAATTTAGAGAAATATTAACCAGAACATCTCCCTTGGCTTGAGTGGTAAGAAGCTCACTCCCCAAGATTCATAGGGGAGGTCACCCAGGTTGCAGCCCCATCAGAGGCAAAGGCATTGACCCATCGTGTATCACTAAGTTGAGAAAAGTATGAACAAATGCTACATTGTTATCGAGTCAAAAGCACTCAAAAGAAATACAAATAATAACTAAAGAAGACGTTGATGCCCACATGGGAGTATTAAAAAAAGAATAATGATAACGGAGATAGCATAAGATATATAGCTCCGGTTACCTTTGTCAAAGTGACTATGACAGGGACATTACTGGTGTCAAATTGAACAAAATCTTCATCGCTCACATCAACTTCTGGTTGCTCATTTGACGAAGCATCAGCAGACACATGGACACTTGGAATACATGTATTACTCAAGGCAGCCTAGAAGAAAGTCAAAACAATGCAATTAATCATTTAGATGTTATTGCCTAATACTCCGTATGTCCTTAAAGCAGCTATAAGAAGCGCTGGCTCATCAAATATCCACTTCGCTCGCATCATCATCATTCTTTAGATTGTTTAGTAAGACAAAATTGAAAACAAAAACTAAGTGGAAGTAATTGTTTTCATTTAAAGATAACATAGAGGAGTAACTTTTTAAACCTTAATCGCAGCACCAAGGGCATCGAGTATATTCCCATCTGAATCAACCACCAGGCCATCTATGTATAGATCCCAACAAACTTTTCCTTGCACAACTGAGAGAGAAGAAAGATCAATAGCAGCCCCTGCAGCGAAATTTAAAAGAAGCATTAGATCATTAACCTAGCAGACCACATGAGAAAAATACTTCCAAGCCATTGGTCTTTCGGTGTGTTGCTTGATGCCATTTTTGTTTGTACAAAACCAATTATACCTTCCCCATTTTTTCCACCAAGCAGGCATCGTTGAAGGGTCATTGACAGTTCTGCACCCAACTCATCGCCGCCTCTTCCCTACAGGAAGTAGTATAAATGAACAAAGATAGCATTGAATGATGGGATAAAATCAACAGACTTGCGGGGTTGGCTGTATTTCAACAGTTGAGTTGCATATATGCCATAGTTTCCAGTATACACTAACAAGAATATACACAAAGTGGTCTGATAAGGATAGAATTCAAATGACCAACAAGGATAGCTTATAGCCTTATACCATACTGAACATTTGAACAAACCACTAATAACATAAGAGCATTATTCAACATAATATATTATTCAAGCTTCATTCAAAGTCAATCTAGTTGATATAAGCAACCTCAAACATTGGATCTGCCGTGGGACTGCAATCTACAAAAATGGAAACTTTTCCCTTGTCGGGGTGACGTGAACTTGGTTTTCCAAGTTCAGCCTGCAAATAGGAATAAAAAGACAGCATAAAGATGATGTCCACAAAAATGTTATCAGTACCATAAAAACAATGTTCACATTTCACAAACAAAAAACTAATTTAACTAAATACCTTGACACTGACAATGACATCTGTTGCACCAATCTTGACTCTTGCCGAACCACTTGCCTTCCAAAAAGAAGTATTCAATTATGAAATCATGTGTCAGGTGCCATATACAGAAAGAAATCATATGCCCAAATGAAACAGAGGGAAACCACACTATGTAGAACTCAAAAAATACATTACCTGAGGGATGACACCCGTTTCAACATAAATGCGCCGATAAGCTAACTGCTTCCTACCATCTGTTCGCAGATCCAGACCAATACCATCTCTAATGAAGTTCTTTTCTCCAAAAGATAGCCCTACCATAACTTCATAACAAAAAAATCACATCTGACATAAGCCATAAGCCATGCACGCATGCAAAAAGAAGAATCTAGAAAAGCAATTTGTGTAAATTAGATTGCTTTCAGCATGGTTTGCTGATATTTTCAGGATCATGTTAGGTGAAATTGAACATCAAAAACTTAATGTTGTTTTGACTTAACAACACAGCATATTCATGGCAGTCATTGATGTCCAACTCCCGATAAGGTCCTCTTGTTATTGTCACCCGTGGCGCTCAGGCTCGTATTCATACTCTGCCCACCTCAGCCGCAATCTGGTCTCACTTAAAGTTGGAAAATATGTGCTCATATTCAAACATCACCCACATCCACTGCAATCTATGATTTTTTCCATACACATATTTCCAACTTAAAGATTCTCCATAACCTTTGGAAGGGCCCCAACTCCATGCAGGAATATATTGACAAATACACTGGGCACTATGACCACTCTAAATTTTGAAAATGAGCCCATTCCTCAGCACGCCATAATTTTATGTGTTCTCCGCACTCAAAAGGAGACGCGAACGGAGACAAAACGAAACGGACACGCCAAAACGGCTATTTTGAAAAAAATGAAGAGACGAAACGCCGGGGAAACACCAAATTTATATATAAAATTATATATATATATATACATATATATATAAAATTATGTAAACAAATTCACAAGACATAACATAATTTAGTCATTACAAAACAACATACTGATTTTCAACAATTACATTTGGAAGAAAAAGTATATGAATTTCACAAAAAAAAAAAAACAGTCCTTCGTAGTCCAAATACGAATCGTACCTTTGAAATTTTCAAATCAAGAAGTCACTTGACCAGCGGCGTAAGCTTCTCCCTTTGTCGGCGAGAAGCTTATTTGGAGAGAAGCCTTCTCCCTTTGTCGGCCAGTAGTTGGCGACAGTTCATCGAACCAGATGCCTAAACTTCTTCGAGGGCCGTTGTCGATGGTTGATGGGTGAATATGAGATAGCGGCGTAACATAGAGGAGTGATGGGGATTTAGGGCCATATAATACTTTCTAGTTTCTATAATTTGAGTAAGTTCCAAACTTTTAATATTTATAAAAAGAACCCCATTTTATAAAAAAAGAGGTGGCCATGCCGCTTCCCAAAAGAGACACAAAGGTGGGGCTGATGGTTGCTGCGGGGGCTAGGGCGAAGGCGGGTCTGACTGTTGCGGCGGGGGCTGAGGCAAAGGTTGAGCTGACGGTTGGGCGGGCGCGGGGGCGAAGGTGGGGTTGACGGTGGCGGCGGGGGCCGGGGCGAAGATGATCGGAGCAAGGGGTTGTGGTGGTGGCACTGACGATGGCCGTGGTGGTGGCGCTGACGATCAGTGCAAAGGGCCGTGAGCCCGTGACGAAGAAACAGTAGCCCCATTCGTTTCTTTCTTTTCTCCTTTTTATTAGGACATTTTAGTCATTTCAAATGTCTGGTCAACCTCCACTAAAAATGACCAAAAGTCAAAATGAGTACTTTCCCAGACGGAGGGAGTAGTAATTATATCACACATCTTATACGTTAAGATATTATTTTATTTTAAAACTATTGATTGTTTAAAAAGTATTTTGAATGTGGGTCTGGCGGGTTGGAGCCAATGGAGCCTGCTTCACAACCTACAACTGCGCTAGCCCACTCACCGTTGCTGCCCCATAACGTCTCTGGGGTCTTAACTCTCTTTCTTGTCAGTTCATCTTATGCTCCCAGGGAACTTTGTCACCATATTCCATCCAACCCCTGCCAAACCTCACACCTGGCACCATACCCTCTCGCTCATAGCCCTTATCTATCGCCTCAAACACCCCCACTAGGGGTTCAGACCTGTGAGCTCCCATTTGGGAGAGCTACTGCCGCTCAACCACAAACTATTTGGCTGGAGTACATAAACAGTTTGAAAATCTCAATAGATAAAAAGTAATTCATGTCAGCTAAATACCAACTAGGTGAGTAGGTGACACTTGTTTTTTTGAAAATCTCATCTGTAAACATACTCAATAAAAATCGTCAAATAAAAGATTCAATATTTCTTATCAGACAATTCAACCTAAGAAGGTTTTTAGTTTAATAGACATATATGGTGATATATCAATTATCTCAAGAATCAGATTTGAGCAGAATCAGCATTAATACAAATCCAAACTTATAATCATAAACTTAAACATTCCACACACATAAATGAAATTGAAATTAGAATGTAACTTTATATTTAATATTGGGTAATCATTACATTGATAAATTTGAGAAACCCTAATAGAAACTTGTTAGTAAATCTACTGCAAAAAAGAAATCATAGCAAGAGAGGAAGAAGGGAAGGCTGCATGGTGTTACCCTCGGAGCTGTTCGTCTGCCGGGGCGATGTGTGTTGATGGTGTGTGTCGACCGTCCTCCTCATTCACCCTCCCTTAATTGGTTGAATTGCTGCTACGACTTCTTGCTCTGCTCTCTGTTCGATTCTTTCTTTCCTTTTTTCCATCTGTTCTTTAGGTTGTAAAGCTCTAGGTGATGAGGTGGCGTTGATTGGGTCGGTCCATATGGGCATGGCCCAAACTCTTTTCTTTCTCGGGCTCTAACCTCTAGTTTTGACATTTTAATTATTATATTCCTGGTTAATCCTCACTCAATCCCAACCTTAACCCATATTTTACTCACGTTAATTTCCCTTTGTTCAATGAAGATGATTCTTTAAAAAAAGTTACGGAGTATAATTGTATATTTTATATTCTTAATGAACATTAGGTATTTTTCTAATGTGTGCGGAGTATAATATTTTTAAATTGTGAAAATGAGATTCGTATTTTCTACAAACGAGCTTTAACAAATGTAAAATCAAGAGGGAATAAAATATACGGTATGTGAAATTTACTTTCAGCTACATCTAAATGAATAGTGATCGGATGTACCCAACTCAATTCCGATTTTCTTACTCTATTTTTTTCAGGTTCGGTCCGTAGGGATGAACTCCTGCCCAAGATCACAAAGAGCGGGTTCGAGAGCGAATGCGGGTGCGTTAAAGCGCTTATGTTTAAAAATGTATAAGTATGTGTGCGTACTAAAGCGTCAAATAATATATATATATATATATATATATATATATATATATATATATATATATATATATATATATGTTAACCCCCTGGGAAGTAGATGTGGGCTTATGGGGCTGGGCTTTAGATTGGGCTTACTTTGGGCTTTTTATAGTGAGCTATCTACCTTGGGTGTTAACGGGCCCCGAGGTAGTCACGAGGTTAACGCGCCTCGGGCCTCCTGCTTTGTAACCGACCGTTCATTATTAATAAAAAAATTATTTATATGTATATATATGTGTGTGTGTGTGTGTGTGTCCATATTTACTTCAAAACTACTCATATTTTTATAAGATAATTTGCTAGTGTTATGAACTTGATCACTAATTAAATAAAAAAATTATGTTGCTAATTCAATATGCAACATGAAATAATGATGATTGATTGACTGTGGAAAAATGGTGGAGTACAAAAGTGAAATTTAAAGATTTGTTTCGTGAACAACTACTACATCTGTCCCAGATTATTTGTCCACTTTCATTTTTACACACCATCCAATACACTTCTTTAATCCATTTTATCTTGTAATTTGTATATTAAAAAATTATAGAAATTATATATTAATAATCTATATGTTAAGACAAATCGAACAAGATCACATATGACTATATTTAGGCTTACACATTGAGCGAATTTGATGAGTCAAAGTGCTTAGATAAACATTATTAAAAGTCAAAAGTGGACGAATACTCTGAGACGGAGGGAGTATATTTTTATTAGTATTTAATTTGATGCATTTTTACTTTAATTTATAGACAATATATCTCTAATTTGGTGGAAAATGTTAGAGTATATAACAATCATTCCTGGGCCACAACCACAAACTTGAGCTTTTGGTTGAGTTGGTTCCTTGACATGGTATCAGAACCTTGATGACCAAGAGGTCACAAGTTCGAAACTCACGCCACCCGGTTTAAAAAAATTAAGGTTTCACGTGCAAGACTCAAAGAGGTCACGTCTGCACGTGAGGGGGCGTGTTAGAGTATATAACAATCATTCCTGGGCCACAACCACAAGCTTGAACTTTTGGTTGAGTTGGTTCCTTGACAGAAAAAGTAAAAAAGAACAAATTTTTTAAGGTTGAGACCATATTATAGTGCGGTTGAAAACATAATTAATAAAATATAAGTAAATATTTTTTTGGCACCAAGTAAAATTTCCTATTTTTTATTCAACTTACAATAAATATTTTACTTTTTTTCTTTGAATAAAGAGCGGCATATGCACACCTAAATCGCTAGTGCGTGAATTAAAAAATTACAGTGCGAGCATAAAAATTTACTAAATTGTTTTAGAGCGCGTACTTAAATCATCAGTTTGAGAATTAAGCGTCTCCTAACATTGTTTTAAGAAGAATTATGTTGGCCTTACTTGGAAAGAATATTTTTGATTAGTGTTAGCGTTTTAAATACAATTTTAATCATGTAAATTAATTTTGAAAATGTTAACCCTAAATATTACTCCCTCCATCCTATATTTTTCTTCCCGTTGCATAAAATGAAAAAATCCCTAATTTTTTCAATATATTTTATTTAAATATTAGTATAGAAATAAAAAATAAAATATACATATTTAAAAACTACATCAAAAGTTCAACAAAAGAAGTGGTGACAAGAAAATTTTATTTTATCATATAGGCCATGAAAAAACACAAATAAATATAAATTCTGGTAAAGTTGGAATAGTATTTGTATAAAGTTTTAGGAGGGAGGCATAATCTCTAGGAAAGGTTAAAGTTGATGCCAAAAGGGACCCGGATGAACAAACCCAAGGTTAAACGAATTTACATTCTACACTCGGGCTCAAGCTTACCTTCGCTTCTCTGCCAAAATTCACCGCTCTCTTCCATTTACATCCAAGTACACTTTTTTCACGCTTCGTCTTCTTCAGTTTTAACGGTGTGTTTGGTTGGAGGCAGGGGAAGGTAAGGGTGTTGTTAAATTCGGGAGGGTTCTAGAGCCACTCCTCTTTAGTGGTCATAGAAGCCACTCAACATCTCAACCATCCATCTCATAAACTTATTCATCCAAAGGTTCAAAATTCTCCATCATTAAAACTGGGATTTTAACGGCACTCTATACTTCCTCCGTCTACTTCCGCGATAATCCTCCGTCCACTTGAGCGATACCCTCCGGCGAGTAGCGACATAAACTCTTCTTCGACTAGATTCAACCCCCCACCAAGAACGGAACAGTCCATCACCTGTCGAGGTATGAACCCTAGTTTTGGTTTTATTTTTGTTTCCAATCAAACAATTTTGTGCGCATGAACCCTAGTTTTTTTTTCAATTTTTTGTGTACCCAAATTTTTTTGCAACTTGGGTTAAGGTGTTCAAAGCTTTGTGATTGGGTTTATTTTTGTTTTCAATCAAACAATTTTGTGCGCATGATATCTTTATTTTGATTTCGGTTGTCAATTTTTTGCAACTTTGTTTAAGGCATTTAATTTCTGGGAACCCTAGTTTTGTTTTCACTCTGAAATCGGTTCTTGAGCTTTCATTGATTTATGCAATCGTTTTTTACTATGAAATCATTACACTAAATAATAATTGTTTTGAACCCTATCATTTCAGAGTGTTGCAGGATAACTAAAATTTTAATGGGTCCTTGTGGGAGATTCTACATTCAGTCCTTCTTGCTATCAAATAGAAATCTAAGGTTTTAATGGGTTAAACTATTGGTTTTTTTCTCTCTTAAAGAGAAATGGGTTAAACGACTGTATTTTAAGTTGTTTCTCAATGTGAATATCGATTTTGACCTTTTTGAACGTTGTTAAGGATTATTCAATTCATTTTTGGTTGGTTGTGGGGAAACGCATTATGAGTACTGAGGTTACTTCAAAAGCACATTCCATGTCTTCTATGTACTTTTGTCATTGTGGTGAGTTAGTGAAGTTATGCTTCTCACACCAAGTTAGTTTGGGAGGAAGTTCTGCTAGTGTTGTACTACAGAGTAATTTCTTTTGATGAAATGTTTATCTCCTTTTGTTGTGCTATGAATAACTTGATGACAATTGTATCCCTCTTTTCATTATGTTAATGTTAGTATTTCTTATGTAATGAAAAGAATGCTAAATGAAATAATTTGTTTTAGTCCATGGTTCCAATTTGTGAGTAAAGAATAAAGTCAGTATTTTGTTATATGTTAACTCATGTTTGTGTGAATAATATTATTGAAAATGCACAGAAATTAAATTGATTTCATATAATTGCATAACTTGAATGTGAAAAGCATTAAAAATGGCACCGTGTAGAAATAAAGCATACTTGAAAAGATTAAGTATTTAAAGACATAATTGAGTATAAAGCAACAAGAAATGCGCTTAGGTCTAGCCACCTCTCATGTACTGCAAATGCTACTGAACACAAACATAAAGCAAAAGCATAAAAGATCAAGCTTAGACAGAATACTAATTCCAAATTTACAACTTATGTAGAATTCATTGCTACACAATGAATAGTCTGAAAGCAGAGTCACAACACATCCAATATTTTCTTACATTCTTTTTTACCAATATTCACTCCAAACAGAACATCCTTACATTGAATACAGTTACTTCATAAAAGGCACAGTTCTAAAGCATGCAGATCCCAACAAACAAATCTTGGAGCCTCTACTGACTGGTTCATTGTAGTAAAATCATCCACCTTCTGCATTTTTTGAACAGAGAGAGCATTAAGATGTTATTACAAACACTTCAGTATAAGTTTGACACAAAATACATTGTAGTTACCTAGCATGTTGTAGTGTTATGTAGTGTTATGGCCTGTACCCCGACAAGTGACACATTTTCGTTGACTACTTTTGGAAACATCTCTTGCTAATTCTCTATCTATAGAGCTTTGCTACCTTGACTCAATTGGGTCATTCTTTCCATAAAGTATACATTATAGAGTTGCAGTTTGCTCCATTTCAGTTTTCGCCTGTGACCATCAACAAAAATTGATGCATAAATGGACTGATTTTATATCTTAGTGTAAACAATATCTTTGAAAACAAATTCAATACACCCAACCTCACACGACATATTACATCAAAATTTAAATCCAATACATTTGACCCAGAATACATTCTATCTAATATTGAAATCTAAAGCCACCATAAGATTCTGATTTTTTTATAAATAGATTGGGGGGAGGGGGATATAATTTTATAATCGATTAGGGGGGCTAAACTAAAACCACTGAGTTTAGTTTAAACAAATGAAATCCAAATTGAAAAACAATATTGAATCCATTAGAGCCGACAAACTAAAACCATTGAATTTTTCCTTATACAAGAAAAATTCAAATTGAAAAAAAAAATGAAATAGATTTTTAAATGGAAATGGGTTTCATACCTTCTAAAGCTTAAACAGAGAAGATGCGCACGATCGGCGTGACAGCGCCACCACTCTGGAATTGCAGATGGAGGTCGGCGTGAGAGGTGTATCGCGGTCCGCAGAAGGGAGATGTCTTCGTAGAAAGAAAGGGGTATCGCTAAAGGAAGATTTTGATAACGTCCAAAGACGTTGACGGAGGGTGTAGAGTGGCGTTAAAATCCTAGTTTTGTTTTAATGATGGAGAATTTTGAACCTTTGGATGAATAAGTTTATGAGATGGATGGTTGAGATGTTGAGTGGCTTCTATGGCCACTAAAGAGGAGTGGCTCTAGAACCCTCCCGTGTTAAATTTACACCTTCTCTTTTTTTTCCTGTGCGATTCTCCAGCTTTGCATACGCCGGATGCCGCTGCTTCCTCTCCCATCTAAGATCCCAGACGACGCTGGAGCTGGTGCGACGGTCTTCCTCTCCCGTCGCCGATCTTCCTCTGCCGCCTGACAATCTTCCTATGTCGCAGCTTTCCAGCTCCTCTTCCGACGCAGGTTTTTATCTCCCTTCATCTTCCAATTTTCAGCTCTTCGTGTATTGATTTTGTTTGCTAAGTATTGTAAATTTGGGCAAGGTTCCCATGACATTGGGAGCTAATGTCATGGGATGACCCGGGGCGCTCCGGTGCCCTGTTCGTAAAATTGACGGTTCCCGAACACACCCCCACCCCTGGTAAACCCCCACCCGGCCCCGACCCGAACACACCCCCACCCCTCCAATTGCACCCCACAAGTTGTTTGACTCCAAAGTCAAAATCAACTTGTGGGGTGCAATTGGAAGGGGTGGGGGTGTGTTCGGGTCGGGGTCGGGTGGGGGGTTTACCAGGGGTTAGGGGGTAGGAACAGTCAATTTTACGAATGGGGCACCGGAGCACCCCGGGTCATCCCATTACATTAGCTCCCAATGTCACGGGAACCTTGGTGTGTAAATTTATGTTTTTTCCTGATTTCTTTTTGGTTTTTTTCTCTTTTTTCAGCTTTCTTTTGTGCGGCCTATATTTTTTTTTGGTTCTGTTCCATTTTTTTCGTTTTTTTTCCATTTTTTGTTTTTGCTTATTTTTTTGCTTTCTTTTCGTTTTTTCTTTTGTTTGGTTTTTCGCATTTTCTATGGTGGTTTTTTTCCCTATTTTTTTAATGTTTGTTGAAGTAGCATGTTTTGGTTTTTTTTTCTATTTTTTATTTTGGTTTATTGCTGTTTTTTGGCTTTTTATATCAATATGCTAATTTTTGTATTGTTTTTTTGGATTGCTGTTTTTTATCAAAATATTATTTTACATAATTAAAATATATTATAATTTCATGTTAAGGTAAATTGATATAAATACATGAAACAAATAAAGAATAACACGCACAAGGATATTGAAGTAATTTATTTCTTTTTCTTACCTCACATTACCTTATTAATATCCAAACACAATGTTTTAACTCATTACCTTACTTTACCTACCTAATAAAACTTTACTTACCTTAATCCAAACATACCCTAAGCTCCTAGCTGTTTAAGCTTCCAACCGTATCAAACGCTCTCAGACGAAATTAATGTCTGTTTCAATTTTCCAGATATGAAACGCAGTTTTCAGATGTTTTTATCATCAAAGAATTTTTAGGTTGTCTGAGTTCCAAATCTGAAAATCTTCCCAACCGATTATATACCAGGCTTATATGTTCGTCTTCTCAGAGGATTTGTATGATACACCACTCTAAAGATCTTATTTTTACACTTCAGGTATGCAATTGCTTGGTTTTATACAAACAGAAATTTATGCATATTTCCATTTTGTTATTTTATACTATATGTATTTATTAACAAAAACACTGATTTGGTTGTATTTTTCTTCTATAAAATATGGGGAGAGGGCATATTTACCCAGACCTTAACCTCAGTTTTTTTTGCCTCCACAGTGCTTACTCTTAAATTGTATTGGAGTCCCCTTTCTACTGCATTATTATATATAGAAGAGATATGTATATTATTATATTCTGGACTATGGAGTAATTCTTGCTATACTCCCTCCGGTCCATTATGTTTGGGGCATGGAATTTCGGTACACAATAATAGAAAGTGATATTCTGTTCTGATAAACAACAACATCAACCATAAAACTAGGGTCTGGAGAGTGTATACACAAAGCTTACCCTTACTTGAAAGTGGAAAGACTCTTTCCAAGAGACCCCGACTCTAAGCAACACAGAAAACACATAGTAGGAAAAAGAAACGTAAGAGTAAGAAAAGCGTAAGGAGACAAAAACACAAATAGTTGCAAGCAATAAGACTACAAGCCCACAAAACACACAACGACAAGAGCATAGATTACGACCCAGATCCAAACAACTACCCCATACCATAGTCCTAGATCTCCAAATGCTTCATATTCTCGATAGGGGCCAAAAGTACTAAATCCCGTCTAATCACTTCTTTCCAATTTTATTTGACCACACGAATATGGCAAATCTAGAATGTGACAAAGATAGATTGACCAACAAAAGCTGTATAAAGGGACAATGATAGTTGGATGGAGATGGTATTATTTGAAGTGAATTGCTCTTCATAAGTAAGGTGAGATATGCTAGAATGTTTTAGAGTTTTAGAATTTCGGAATGCCTAGAGTGCTAAAACATGGCACTTAAGTTTAAAGGTTGATAATTTAATTCTTTTAATAAAACAAAATTATAAATTTACTTTGGGCGGCGGGTGAGTGAAAAGATGTATTCAAAAAATAGATTGTATGCAAGGACTAAAATGTATGATGAAGGACACAAAACTCACATGCATCAGTTAGGTGTGCAACTTCAAAGCTTAATAAACTCGCGTATAGAAAAAGCAGTAGATGGAGAGGCAAATATATGAATCCTTTCACCATAGAAACATGATGCTCTTGTTATTTATCCACAAGTACATGTTATGTTTGCCTCTTTCTCTTACAACAACAACATTACCCCGGTGCCTCAAAGGCTCCCACCCATTGCGGGGTAGGGGGGGAGGATGGGTGTACAGAAGATAGAGCGACTGTTTCAAGATTACTAATGATGAGCGTCGAAAGTTGCATTACTTCACTATAAAAGACGCGTCGACAGTGAGCCATTTTGCATTATTCCACCATACCCAAAACAATGAATCTTTGGCTCCATTTTACCTTTTCCCTTTCCATTATACTTCTGCACATCAAAAGAATTATATTCTCTCCCTCGTGGAATTTTAGTCCTGCTTTGACTTCACATATATTAAGGCAATGCTAAAAATGACACCGAGTTGCCCATTTTAGCCTTGAAATAAAAGTGATTGAAATAAGAGAGAGAGAGTGTGTGTGAAAAAAGTGATTGAAAAGATGGAAAATGCAGGAGAGAAGGATTAAAAGTGTTTGAAATAAGTTAGAGTGTAAAAAGTGATTGAAAAGATTAAAAAGTAATTGAAAAAGTAGGGATAATATGGTATTTTTAGTGAGTTAGTTATGCCAAATAAGAAAATGGGAATTTAATTTGGGACACCCAATTTGGAAAGTGTGACTTTATTTCCGGGTCGGAGGGAGTAGTATACTTCTATATACTCACATTGATGCAACTAGCAACCAAGATTGGTTCCAACAAAAGACTGCTCACTGTTCTCCCAATGCAGAATATTAAAATATGGAAAGAATATTAGCATTGGATGGTAGGCAGCAAGCTAATTCAACAGATCAAGCACTACTTCAAGTAAGACCCATTGTATTGTCTGGAAATTTTGATACCAAGATGGAAGTTTGTTCCAACACTGGAACATCTTCTCCCAAAGACAATCGGCATGCTTCCAAAGAATCTGAATACAACGTACATAAACTACTCTTAGTTCTATATTTTTAATTCTTTTTTATATTGTATTGTATTGTCAATATTCTTATTTTTATTTTTTATTGAATCTTGTGTAATTCAGAGGTGGAATTATGCAGGACGGTTCCGCTGATGAAGTTCCAGACAGTAATGAGAGATTGAGTGCAAGTACGCCAACTTCACCTGGAGCTATTATATGTATATAGAAGATAAAAAGATCATTATAATATAGAGTTAATGTTGTTATATTATTTAAAGTTATTTGCTTTTTACTGGAAAGGTCAAATATGCTAGATTGTTTTCGAAATTTGGAATACATAGAGTGACAAAACTTGGAATGCTAAGTAGTTAAGTATTAAAGAATACAATTAGTATTTAAAGAAAATTTATTAAATTAGTTTGGGTGGCGTCTGAGTGAAATGGTATTTTTCAGAAATTTGATTGTATGAGAGGAATAACAGAAATTATGAAGAACACTGGATCTTGTGCATCAATTAGGTGTTAAAATTTGAAGTTTATTGATCTTGTGGATAGAAAAAAGTCACAAACCTGCAGATGGACAGACAAATTTGTGAACTTCTTCGCCATAGAGTCATTATGAAGAACACTGGATCTTGTGCATCAATTAGGTTTTAAAATTTGAAGTTTATTTATCTGCCTTTTCCTCGTTTCTCATTTCCTCTAGAGTTTGCATGAGAAGAAGTATACTCTCCACACACATTGGTGGACCTAGCAACCAATGTCTATCCCAACAAAAATCAGTGCTAACTCTTCTCTGGATGCAGATTATTACAATATAGAGAGAACCTCTGAATTGGATGGTGGGGAACAAACAAATCCAACAGATCAAGAGCTACTCATTGTAAGACCCCATATATTGTTTCAAAATACTTCATACGCAATTGGAAGGAAGTTCTAACACCAAAATTGCTTTTCCCAAAGACAACCAGCATGCCTCGAGAGAATCTCAATCCAACATGAACCATTATTTTGCTTTTAATTTTTTCTTTCATTGAATCCTTTGTGTAATTCAGAGGTGGTGGAACTATGCAGGATGGTTCGGTTGATGAAGTTCCAGACAACAATGAGAGAATGAGTGCGAGTACGTCAACTTTATCTGTAGTTATTTTATAAATATGTATAGAACAGTTAGACATGTATACTCATGAGTTAGTATTGTCATATTATTTAAATTGAATAGCTCTTTACCAGTAAGGTCAAATATGCTAGAATGTTTTCATTGTTTTGGATATTTGGGATGCATAGGGCATATTTGGAAAATCAATTTGAAGGACATAAGGCCGTTGTGCCCCGATTATGTGTTAAACTTTGAATTTTGTTGAACTTGTTTATAGAAAAAACCTGCAGATGGACACACAAATTTATAGACCTCTTTCTCATAGAGTCATGATGCTATTACAATTTATCCATAGGCACCTGCTATGTTTGCCCTTTTCTCTTTCTCTTTCAATTAAACTTCTGCACATGAAAAGACAACACTGTGCAATCCCATTGGTGCAATCAGCAACCAAGACCGGTTCCAACAAATACTTGGATCAACCAAAAAAGTGCTCACTAATACCTCGGTGCAGAATACTACAAGTACACATGCGTTTGATGGTGGGCAACAAACTAATTCAACAAATCAAGAACTACTTCATGCAAGACCCTATGTCTTTACCCAGCTGTAAGGCAGCTCTAACACCAGAACAGTTTATCCCAAAGACAATCAGCTTGCTTCAAGAGAATTTGAATGCAACATACATGAACCATTCTTTTTTTTCTTCTCTCATATAATCTTTTGCATAATTTGGGGAAGGAATTATGCAGGATTGTTCCTTTGATGAGAGAATTAGTGCGAGTATGCCTACTTCATCTGAGAGACCTAGTGCGAGTATGCCAACTTCATATGGAGTTTTTATAATTACACGAGTTTGATTGATCACTATAATATGAACCTACTCTTGTTATAGTGAATTGCTCTTTACCAGTACGGTCAAGATCACAGATGTGCTAGCACTCATTCCCTAGATGAGAGAATGATTTGCCTTTTCCTTATTCCCTTTCAATTATACTAGTGCGCATGAAAAGTTTATATTGTGCAAACACATTAATGCAACCAGCAACTAAGATCATTCTCAACAAAAATGGAGTTCACTGTTCCCTGGATGCAGAATATTACAATCTGGAAAGAATGCCTGTGTTGGATGGTGGGCAGCAGACTAATTCAACAGATCAAGAACTACATGTAAGACCCAATGCAATGTCTGAAATATTTTTTACTCAGCTGGACGGCAGTTGTAACACCAGAAGAGTTTCTCTGAAAGACAACCTGCATGTCTCGAGAGAATCCCAATCCAACGTACATGAACCATCCTTTATATATTTTACTATTATTTTTATTTTATTTCATTGATCCCTTTTCATAATTCAGAGGTAGAATAATGCAGGATGGTTTGGTCGATGCACTTACAAACACCAGTGAGAGAATGAGTGCCAGTGCGCCAACATCATCTGCCAGCCCATCTAACCATGGTTTGATTTTGTTATTTTAAAGTTGTGTGGTGTGCGCAAATTTATTTGTTCGTATGTTTGTGTATGGATTTAGTTTTTCTTGTTTCAAGGGGATAGTGGGATGACCCTGCTCCTTGTTTCTGTTTCAGATCTCTATGAAACTCCATCAGAAAATCACTACAGTCACTGGGAAATGGTATTGCTGGCTGTATTTCACTATGTATAAAGGACGATGTTGTTAAATTGTTGTCATAACATGGAGGATTTAATTCTAGCTGACATAGAACATTCACGAAGAATTACATTTTATGGTGATCTATGGTGGCGCCGTGTGCCAGTAGGTCATCCACCATAATCTGCCATCTGCCATCTGCCAATAGTTATTAACACCGAAAGGATATTTATCCATTTAAATGAAATGTCCCAATCATGATTAGCTGTTGTCGGGATTTATATGATTTTTTCCCTTATCCAAGATGTTCAAGATTTTGACACGCTAGAGAAAATACATACTTTTCATGTTTTTTTAAATAAATATTTTTAACTCTTGACACATTTTCGCTTTTTTTGGCAGGGCAAAAACATGTCCATTGTATTCCATCCTGATCTCATCTATTATAGGGAAGCTTACTATACAGACTGTCTGGTGAATTTTCGTAATAATTGCATTGAAGTTGAAGGTTCAGCTGTATGTGGGGATTCAGGGACTTTTAGTACTCAGTTTGCTATTGATGACATCAACCAGATTCAGCTAGAGCATTGTGCCAGAGTGAGTTTTAATAGCAATTCATGTCATAACCTATAAAGAAAGAGTAACGGGATGAAATTCCATTTCTTAAAAAATCATTATCAATGGTTTTTTAATACTAGCATGGAAAACATATAGTTCTTGTATTCACGTCTCATTGGAACATTGATATTGTAAAGTCAACGTGGGCAAATGCACATCATGGAAGATGATCGAGGTATGATGCTAAAATGGTGATGCTATATTTTTATAAACTTTGCATTAGGTTGATTCTGGTCAGTTCAAGATTCGTGTTATTCCAAGATGTTCAGAACAATCTGAAACTGATCATGAAACATCAGGTATGTTGTGCTTTTGTTAATGTGTGGTCTTTTTGTTTGCTTTGGCATTGTTTTGTACTACGTCCCATTTTTGTCACATACCATATTTAGTGCGAAGTATGATTTATGTGACTCAAATTAATTCACATGGAGTACTTTACAAATTTGATTTCAAACACAACATTTCACTTTTCCTCTCATGTCATAAACTTGATTAGACAAAGGAAGTACTATTTTTTGTGTTTATCATTCAATTCTTTCTTTTACTACCTATGTCCTAGTTATTTTTGGAACAAAGAGATATGACACACAATTTAAGAATAGTGGAATTGTGTGGTTGATATTTTTAAGTTTAAAAGTAAGAATCAATATAAGCCACAAAATTATAGAAAACTACTTCAGGGTACCCTCAATTTTATGATAATAACTCCAAGGTCCCTCATTATCAGAAATATGATCTTCTAGTAACTTAGTAAGAACTCTTAGATCCCATATTATCCAAAATATATTCCGTGGTTCACGGGTTCTTAAAAATTTTGATATTATATTGCGAGGGTACATTCCGTCCTTAAGATTGAAAGTTCTTTTACTTTGACAAATTGAAGGATTTTATTTAAATTGAGTTAAATGCACAAATAGTCTTTGTATTCTTTCATAATTAGATAAATAGTCCTTGTACTTTTAAAAGTTGCAAAATAGTTCATGTGTTCAAAAAACTGATGCATAATTAATCCCTTCTTTAAGGAACACGTAAAGCACATAGAACATAGGCGTACTGTGTGAAAATTTGAAGCATGTAACAAAAAAGAAGTTTATCTCATAAAATTGCCCTCGTCTTCGTGCTTAAAGGCAATGAATGGTCTTTTTCTTGCTCTTTCCTCACACGATTTTACCTTAGAATAAAGCTACTTGAAAAACAAAATAATGTCGAGCTCACTTAGGATATTGCACCACGATTCAAGAATATCACTATAGAAGAGACGGAAAATTCATTGTAAGAGTTAGACTAAAAGATGGAAGATATTGTACTATGGTTCAAAGTTACACATCACAACGGAAATTTCAGATTAGCTTCTTTTACTGTTACATGATTGATGACTTTTCATAATACGCACGTGTTGTGTACATTTTATGAATTTTCCAATAAAGGGAGTAATTATGCTATGGTTGTTTGACCACATGGACTATTTGACAACTTTAAAAAGTTCAAGGACTATTTACCCACTTATAAAACACCACATGGACTATATATGCATATAACTCATTTAAATTTAACATAACAATAATTATCAAGGTAAATTTAATACTTGTCAAATAGATTGAATGTACCCTCGGAGTACATTACCACTAATTTTAAGGACCCCCGGAGTATATTTCAGATAATGTGAGACTTGAGTTCTTACCAAAAAATTGAGGGTAATATTTCAGTAATGTGGGACTTGGGAGTTATTACCAGTAAATCGAGGGTACCCCGGAGGTATTTTTGGTACAAAAATGTTATTAAATCTAGTTTGAGAAAATATTAGTGATATTAACAAAAAACGTTATAAGAGAAAAATATCGGGATGGATGGAGGACCTTTTTTACATGAAACTAGAATTATTTAACTTTCATACTATCCTTACAACACATCACTCTAATTCAGACATTGATGCTTTTGGTAATCTACATGAAACTAGAATTATTTAACTTTCATAATATCCTCCGTCCTTTTTAAAGGTTCCACATTTACGTTTTTGTTTCTCCCATAAAAAGGTTCATCTTTCCTTTTGGGGAAGGAGCTTCATGGTTCTCACAATTTTCTCTTTCTTTGCACAAAACTCAACCTCACATTTCACCTTTCTTAATAACCCTGCTCGGGTCTATTGTGGAACCTTATTTCAGGACAAAGGTAGTTTGATGATCAAATCTAAAGTCTATACACCTCCTATTGTTTGTTTATGTTATTCTGTCTCTGCCCACAAAAAAAAATCCACTAAATCATGAATTTCTATCCACCCCATTGGGACCTTTCTCCCTCTTTTCTCAGTGGCCTGCCATCGTACTGTTCAAGCAAAAAGTTAATAGGTAAAGGATTCTAATGGATGTCTATTTTTTTGAGGACCTTAAAAGCACTTTAATAAAAAGGACCCAACCACTTGAATGATATTTGAAATTGTTTCTGTAGCAAGCATTGCAATACACAGTTCTGTGATGATTTACTGTGTGTTTTAAACCTTTAGATATGTACTACAATTTATGTTATCTACCTTGAAAATGTGCAGTTCTATAACCCCCCTTGGTTCAGACAGTTTCCTTCTTGGTTTGTTAAAAAAAGGATTCTCTTTCCTTCAGAGGAAGGAATTGTGTGGTTCAGACAGTTACTCTCCCCTGCACTAAACACGCCGACACACTTTCATCTTTATTTATAATCTTGCTCGGTCAACTGTGAAACCTTATTTTGGGACAGATGCAGCATTAATCTTCTCCCTACTTTTTGTCTAACATTGCTATGATTTGAGGTAATTCCACATACTTGTAGAAATAACAAAATTACCCAGTTCTCTAACTTCTTATTCCAGAAATAGAGGAGGTGCAATTCTTTGTTCATGATCCTGACCTCAGCGAGAAATGTGAAGCAATAAGATCTTTAAATGAGTATGAGGCTGTTTGGAATTCCATGTGAGTGTTTGGATTTCCGCTTGTCGGTTGTTGTATAAGGTTGTTTGGAATTCCATGCGAGTGATTGAATTTCCGCTTGTCGGTTGTTTATATGTGCTGTACTGTTATTTTGGTTCTTGGGTGTGTGTGTGTTACTCCATTCAATAATAATAATAATAATAATAATAATAATAATAATAATAATAATTTTGAAAGACCAATCCTTGATGTGGCAAGGATATTTAGGGAGAGCATTGTTTACACGTCGTCAAATGTTTATTCTTTCTCTCCCTTGTTCTTTTTTACTCTTAGGTCACTAATCACCATGTTACTGCAATTGCAACTTGCAAGATACTTGAACTATGCATTCATGATATCTATTACAGAGTAAATAGTAGTTTTACCTGGCTCTTTTGCTTCTAATTGATCACCATATAACACTGTTTTGTTCGACCTTGTAGCTCTGTGGTGAATGGCCATTGTGAGGGTGTGAAAAGTGACAAGTTCGAAGCATCATCTAAAATATACTTTCCCAGGTTAGTGTAAGTTTAAATTCAGTGATTATTGAAGATATGACAATTGTTATATCTTTGCTCAAGTTTTTTTTCTTTTCTCAATGAAATATAGGTATGACCGTATGAATTCTTTGCATTTTGTTTATTTCAAGCTATTAATATGTGATTAACGCAATCACATGGATTGTAGCTTGTCAGCTACAAATGCAACATGTTGCCGATGATGATTGTTTTTTAAGTTGCAGTTGTGATGAGTCATTTGAAGAAGTTATTTATCCTAAAGGAGATTCTGATGCTGTTTCTATTAGTAAGAGGGATTTTGATCTTTTACAACCCGATACATTTGTCAATGACACAATTATTGACTTCTACATTATGTAAGTTTATCTACTTCTTCTATATGTCTGTTATATAACATATTACTTTGACTAAAATATGCTTCACATAGAAATATGTCATGGTTGCTCAACATCATTTGCTGAGACATTAATGAAGCAAATTACCTAAATATTTCAATCATATCATCAACTGTTTTGAATACCTTTGGGATTGTAGTCTGATTGATATGTAGATTATCCTCTCTGAGCATGATGCCTCTCTTCAATTACTGAAGGTATTTAAAGAACAAAATTCAGCCAGAGAAAAGGCACAGATACCACTTCTTCAACAGTTTCTTTTTTAGGAAGTTGGCTGACCTTGACAAAGATCCATCTAATGCTTTTGATGGCAAGGCAGCTTTTTTACGCGTTCGAAAATGGACAAGGAAGGTGAACTTATTTGAAAAGGATTTTGTGTTCATTCCTGTAAATTACAAGTAAGATTCTGAAGGGCTTTTCATCAAAACTTCCTCTCATATATGTGATGTTAAGTGATTTGCTTACTCAATGACAGTTTACATTGGAGTCTAATTGTTATTTGTCACCCTGGTGAAGTGGCGAATTTGGAAGGCAAGTTCGCACTATATGCTGTTTGTCTTTGAAGGCTGTTAAGAATGGCTCTGATAAATGTTTGTATCGTGTGACAGCTGATAATTTAAGAAAGTTGTCCAGAGTACCATGCATATTGCACATGGATTCCTTGCGAGGGAGTCATACTGGCCTCAAAGATTTATTCCAGAGGTAATTTTTGTAATCATTTAGAAATATTGTACTCCTGTGAGTGTTTATAGACTTTGTATGTTTTAAGGTTTTTATACGATCACATCTAGTCAACAAACTACCTAGTGAAGTCCCACAAATGAGGTTTAGGGGTGGATGTATGTAGGCTTTACCCCTACCTATAAGGTAGAGTGGTTCTTTCCAAAATAAAGAGCTTTTGCTTAAAGTTTTTATCATAACAAAAAATGTATTTTTACTTTTAGATGCTGCTTAATAAATGCTAGAAATTGTTAGTGATATTTATCAAGAAATTCCAATTTATTGAAGAATTTTTAAAGTTGTGATAATGGCATTAGCAATTTATCGTAAAACTGTGAAAGAGAAACATATCCCCAAAATTATCTAATAGTTCAGTTTCAATTGTCCATAAATATGGGACAACCTTAGAATGCTTGAATTATCCCTAAAAAGTAATGCAGTTTATCACTATATGCATACAATTAACGATGCTATATGCTTCATTTTTCCGCTACCTCTTTTTTAATAATCTCTCATGGTAAAATAAAGACCACAAAAACTCAACAGAAGAGGTGTTGGACTGATGGGGTGTCAAACCTGTGTGGCTGTGAAAGAAAATTGAAAAAAAAGTTGATCAATTTTCTTCAACTTGGCTATGCTTCTTAACCAATTTGCTGCCCAAAATGAAAAGAAGCAAATGAAATGAATGAGGTGTAGGTTTGCTGCATTGGTCCTCGTGTAAAGCTAATATATCTCTTATACTTTTAACAGAGCTTAGCAAATTTATACAGCGTATGTCGTTAGCTTATCGAACAATTTAATGATTTGTTTCCCGTTGACAGTTACCTATGGGAAGAATGGAAAGAGAGGCTAAAGGAGTTCTGTCAAGACGTCTCCCCAAAATTTCTAAATTTGAGATTTGTTTCCCTTGAGGTAGTATGATATATTCATATATCAGGCCGATATATATCAAATCTTTGAGGTTCTGTCATTCAAAACTGCTGCCTCATGGTTTGGAGTTTTTATCAGTTTTAAGTGGCTATGATGCATGGATCATATCTGTGTTCCTCTTGTTTTGCTGATAAAATTTATAACCTTGCTCTAGCTATACTAAGTTCACTTACTAAATTTTGGGGGATAAATTCATCATGAATCTCATTTTTATCAGTTTATTTGGTCTCAAGTCCATGAAAAAGAGGGATTTTATATGCCAACAACAAATTTAGTGTTCATCACAATTCTACAAAATCTTGAGTTCCTACTCTAAAATCCTAACTGGATTCCTTCGAATTCCTTCTTTAAGATGTATGTGAGATTAGCAATATTGATATTTTTGTAATGATGTATGGGGGTTTCACATGCTGGATGATATTATAAAAAGGTGCTTTATGGAGAGAATTTTTTTTCTTATTTTTCATACTTCACATTGATTACAACATAAGGATTTAAAGGAAACTAAAAGGCTACAGATCTTCTCAAAAGTCAAAAGAAAATATTCAAAGTAGACAGGCTAATCCAATCAGAATATTTAAAGTAGATATATTAAATCAATCAGGATTAACAGAGGGATTTCCTTGACATTGGAACCCCATGTCATCCTATAACATGGGCTTCAGTTGGGCCCATATGGTGCTCCGTTAGTAAAATTGACAATTCCTGCCCTCCTAATCCCCCAGTAAACCCCATCTCNCCCCCCCCCCCCCCCCCTTCAATTGCACCTCCCAAATTTAGTTGACTTTGGAGTCAAATTTATTTATTTGACTCCAAAGTCGACTAATTTGGGGTGATTTGAAGGGGTGGGGGTTGCGTTTGGGGTGGGGTGGGGGTTTACCAGGGAAGCTACGGGGGGTAAGAGCCATCAAATTTACATACAAAGCATTCTAGGGGCCCCAATTGTGGGCCATGTCATAGGATGGTATTGATGAAATTGGTCTTCTTATTCTGTCCTATAATCCTATTCGTCAATCAGTCAGGATTGAAATCTTTCAACACCCCCCTCAATCTAGGTTGTAAATTTTGAATAAACCTAGGTTGGACTTGAGTTCATCACAAGATTTTCATGGCAAGGCGTTGGTCAGTATGTCAGCAGTCTGTTGACCTGATCAAATATAGATGAGTGATAATTTTTTTGACTAAGCGTTTTCCTGGATAAAACAATATCAAAATGTTTGTTCTATCGAAGAACATGATTCTTTGTCATGCTGATAGCTGATATCACAGAAGGTGCTTAGGTTCTGTTATTTTAGAACCCGATTCACTGAAAACTCTTTGTAGTTAAATTCCATCACATACTCCCAGTGTTTGAGCTCTAAGTTCAGTTCCAGCACTAGTTAAGCTCTAAAAAGGGAAATATTAAAAGAGAAAGGAGAGGAGAAAAATTTGATGTCCAAAAGATCTCAAAAAATGACCCAATATGTTTCTAAAAATAGCCAGACCCATATCTTTCTGTCTAAAATCAAAGGCTTACGTGTTACTATGCCTCGCTACCTTGGAGCCTCACACCTAATAAATCTTTAGGTTTAAGCTTTGTTTAGGCCGAATGAGGCTTAAGTTATGCTTTGTTCATGCCTTAACGCTTCTACGACTATGAGGCACATTCCACAAGAACCATTGAAAACTATTTATATGATTATATGGACCTGATGAATAAATTTTCATTGTTGTGTTTGCACATTTCATCTGGAATTTTATTTTAGTGATCATGCTCCACCCCCACTTCTCTTGGCATTTGTAATATAATATAATACAATCTTGACATTGTCTTATCATTATGTACAATGGCAGGTGCCACAACAGCAAAACCTTTGTGACTGTGGCCTTTTCTTGCTCCACTATGTGGAGTGCTTCTTGGAGGAAGATCCTGCTGATATTAATCCATTCAGTATAACAAAGAGCAGCCATTTTGTAAGTGCACTTTTTTAGTGTGTTCTACTCTTTGTGCTTCAAGTTTTTATTTTGGCACTATGTGTCCACCTGTGAAACTTTATGGTCTACTCTTTGTGCTTCACTTAGAAATGTATTTCTTCTTGTGGTGCAATGAGGAAACACTGCACTAAAGTGTGGTTACACTGGCTCACAAGAAACTTCCATTATTAGAATCTTAGATTTTGATGAAGATGTGTCATGAAGTGTTGTCTTTTACTATTCATCTTTGTCTCTTGTTTCATCTTCCTGTACTTCCATCAGCTCTGCTTTCTTTCTTTTCTTTAGTGCTCCTACACCCTGATTTGAATAACAGGTTCGTCATTGGTTTTTCTAAGCGGTGGTATTGCAGAAACAACCTCATTACCCTGTTGGGTAGGGGCAAGGCCTGCCAACATCTACCTCTTCTAGACCTCACTTGTGGTATTAACTGGGTTGTTCTATAAAGATTTAAAAATTATAAATGTATGTAAAATTTTAAAAGTATTTCATTTTTCAAGGTAAACCCAAACACAGTTCTCAACTTATTACTCTGTGTCTCGTGATATTTATATGCTTGTAGAAATAATATAAGGCGGTGAAGGTTGTGACACAAATTGCATTCACTGTAAAGCATAGCCACTTGCCAGTTGTCATTATGTGTTTTTTTGTATGAAGATAGTGTTACAATTAATTTACACTAAAACTTATGCTACTGACCCGAGCTAGCTGGTATTAAGGTACCGATGATGATGGTGATAACTGATGATGATCAATTTTTTTCTGTTTTCCCTAGAATTTTCGGGATCCAAACATACTCTTAGTGAAGGTGTTTCTTTTATAAAATTAATTACAGCTAAGCAGAGATTGGTTTCACTATGATGAGCCATACTGCAAGCGGAGTCATATCCAGAGATTGATCCATGATCTCCTACCCACGAGTCCTTGTGAAAATTCACCTTCTGGTGAGAGTGAGGCATGCGTACCATTTAACCCAAATGATATACAACTCTCATCTCATCCGTTTGGCAGTCCTAAAAGTTATCAAAAGGATTTACGGTGCCACCAAACTAGTCAGGGTTATGACATCAATGGGCTCTCTGCTTCGTTGTCTATGTTGGATAAACAATGTGAAAGCATTTCACCATTGGTGTTGGGGGATTCTTCTTATGAGACTGAAGCGGATTTGCAGGCACGGCTTGATATGCACTTCGGTTTTATTTCAGTGCCTTTCGGCGAGGACAAGATGCCTTCAATTCAGGTACTTCATATATTCATTGCTATTTTTGCATCTGTGCTCGGATTATAACTTCTGATGACACTATATCATTTAAAGGAGCCAATTCTCAAGAAAGTTGCTAAAAAAGTTGTATACAAGATTTTTATGGAGCGGGCAATTTTATAAATTTCCTTTCATAATCTTTTGTATCCAATGTATCCTGTAAATTTTATACAACATCCATCTCCTCTTAACAACCGCCACCGCCATCTTCGCTTCCTTTCTTGCAGAGTTGCAGTTTGCACTTCTCGAAATTTTCTGGATAGGATTGAAATATAGTTAAACTAAAAAAATTAAAATTTTTAGTATGATTCAATGGCTTGAGTTGTAGCTTGTCAATTTAAAAAGTTGTACCTTGATCAAACAACTCTCATGCACTAAACAACACTTCGTGCTTCAGTGGTTTCTTTCTTCGTATTTTGTATCTTAGTCGGGGGCATCTTGGAAACACCCTCCCCACATGCTACTTTTGTGGGATTCTACTGGGTTTGTTGTTGTTGTTGCACTAAACAATTGCCCGACAGTATTTGCATTTGACTCCCTAGTTTTTGCCACCCCCCCTTGTCTCTCTTTATATAGGAAGTGGAGGAAGGTGGTGGAGCATTTGTGTATGTCCCTACTTCCAATGGAACTGGAGTAGCAGACCCTGGAAGAGCTGTTGCTTCCGAAGCTTTTGAGTTTCCTTACTCTTCTAGAGATGATGATGATGATGTCACACCAGCGACTTCTTGGAAGAAAAATGTTTCATCAATCGATGATGAGAAGAATGAATTGGAAGCCACAGTTGATGGAAAGTGTGAAGCCATTGAAAAGGAGAGGACTTCAGACCATCCATCATCCACTCTACCCAGAGACACCAAGTGCTATTTTACCGATTCTGTCCCATCGGCTGCTTGTAACAACACAGTGTCAGATATAGCAGAGCCGCGGTGCGCCACAGCTGATGCTCCACCTCATGTTCAAAATGGTGCAGGAAATTCATTGACCCAGAACTCATCGGAGTTGACTCGGGTTAGCTTTGTATGTGATGATGCAGAGCAACCACCTGCAAAAAGGATTCGGCAAATGAGTCCTGAGGAGAGGGAAGTTGACCTAAAAGCCCTTTCAGAAGATCTGCATCTTTGATGATGATAGCACTGTATAACGGGGGGGAGGGGTTATGTACTTTTCTTTGTCTATTTGAAATATTTAGCGCCCAGCGGTTGGCTCTTTTTGTGTTCTATTCAGTCATTTTGTTCTGTTGAAATGCATACTAAAGAAACTCTATGGAACTTCAGCTTAGTATAAGTACATTGTTGTAGAGATTATATATCGACCGACATTAATGGTTAGGTATGCATTGGTCTAAAAAAGACTCACCGTTGAAGAGGGTCATTCTCAACAAGAGTCGATCATACACATTATATACACATTGTATACATGTTAAAATACTACATCAAAAGATCAAGAATAGTGATTATATTATTTTATCAAATGACTACCGAATATAGAGAAAGAAAGTTAATAAAGTTTGATTTTGTCCATATTAAACAGATAATTTAATGTGAGACGGAGAGAGTAAAAACTAAGGGAAGCATCCCACAAATGGAGATGCTCTAAGAATCTTAATTCATAAAAATATACTTTGTGCTTTCTTTAAAAGACTTTTGCTTAACTTTTTGGCCTAAAGTTTAGCATCTATAAGCTATAACTATAAATTGAGGGAAAAAATGCAGAGTATAAATAAGTACTAACATGAATACAAATGCTCCGTTTGGTACACAGAATTTAAGTCATAAAATTAGAATTAAGGACTTTAATTTTAATCCTGTTGTTTGGTAGGACAAACATATAGGGATTTGAAATTGGTAATGTAAAAAATGAATTCCATCCAATTCAATCTAAAAGAATTTCAATTTCAATTCAATTTTAATTCTGTCAATTCCATGTACCAAATACACCCAGAGTGTATTTGGAGCCACTATTGGTAGAGGCTTTAACATGCGAGTTGGAGGTATTTTCTAATTGTCTTCAATTGTATTCATTTTGATGAGTCGTCTTATTGTAAATCATACGTAGTATTTTGCTTAAGTAACCTAGGAATGCAAAATTTTCATGTCTGGAGTTTGATTTTGTTATTATTGTTTATGTTTCTCGTTTTGCTAATGCCCTTGCTAGACGAATTAATTGTATTGTTGGTTCTTTGGATTAAATATCTCCTGTTGTTGCTTTTTTGAACTAAAGCTATATGAGCTTTTATCTTCAAAAAAAATATGAATAATTTCTCTACCCCGAATTAATATTCTTATTTTCTTTGTTGGATTGTTCCAAAATAAGCTTTTTATTTTTTTAAAAGAATTTGAATAAATACGAAGTGGTTCATATTGATTACCCCTTTTCTTCATAAATTTTACAACCATGCTAGAGGCACCCCATAAAATGTATTCCAAATTATACACCAAAGCTATGCATTAACATTTTAATGGTTCACACTGACACAATATGCTAGTGTGATTAAAAATTTTTACACTCACACTTAATGCTTGTGCAAACTATATCACTCTAGTTTCACACACACACACACACACAATAAAGGTTCATACCCGCGGAGTACAATTTGGGGTATAATTTTTGGGATAGAAAAAGAATTGAACCTAGGGGTGAATGTGGTACGGTATGGTACAGTATTTAACTCATACCGATACCGTAACAAATATTTCGGTTCGGTATGAAATTTTACGTTGTACCAATCCTGAAGAATTGGTTCAGTATAGTTTGGGATGATTAGGTATCGGTTTCGGTACGAACCAAGATGAATATATACGTACCTGGTTTACACTATAAAATGTATCAAAACCTTTTATTTTTGAAAAATCGAAAGATATTTAACCAAAGAAACATAAAAAAAATTTAAAAATGAAAAAATAAAATGCGAGAAATGCTTATGAAAGTTAGTTTTTATTTCACAATTTAAAGAGAATGAGTGATCACAAAATATTATTTCAAATAAAAAACTTTTATTCTAGTGTAATATTCTTATACTCATCTACAAAAAAATTAAAAACTTTTATTTGAGTGTAACTTACACATAATTAAATTAAACTAAATTGTCTATATAAAATTTTTATTTAATGAAGAAATATAAAAAGATTACGGAGTATTTTTTTTTATATGTATTACTCCGTACTCCGCAGTATATATGTTTGGTTCGGAAATTTCGGTATGGGAATTAACCCAGTACCGTTCCTAAATGCCGGACCGACCGTTCGGTTCGGTACAATTCAGTTACCTTGCGGTACTTTATCGATTCCGTATTTTTCAATTCAATATTTTCAATTTTTTCGGGAAAATATCGGGATCAGTTCAGTCGTTATAGTACTTCAATATTCTTCTAGTAGTCTGGTACATCAAGTGGGCACTGGCCCTAGATTAATTGATACAGTGCCGTCTGGAAACTGTGTATGACTTCCAATACCTTTCTTCTTCATCTTCTTCTGGCATTTCATGAAAACCAAGTGACACAAATGTCCTCCTCCCCTGACTACGAGGTTCACCTACACCATCCATCTCTTCTTCTTCCCCTCCCATTTGATCATCGTTTAATCTCCCAAAAGAAAATTATATAATCCTAAATTGTTAGGTAAAATCTTCGGTCCTCTTTTGATTTCTTCATTATTATGGACTGTTTCGAAAAGTCATCCATGGCTGAGACGCCGGAGATCGCCTATGCTCTACTGTTCAAAGCCGCCGTGGCTATTCCGGCACTGCACTACTTGTTGGGACTAGCAATAGTATGTGCGATTTCGCTGTACAGATTTTTGGAGCTCCATTTGCTTCACGATCTCTTCTTCGGATTCCGTGGAGACCCCGTTTCGCTAACCTACAACCCCTGCTCTGAAATCTATCACGGAGTTGTCTCTAAATGTCGTGTTATTCATAGCAGGTGAATTTGTTCATCTTTTCAATCGAATTAATCATTACTGCATGATAAAAATGGCCGTGATAGATGAGTTTACGCATAAATCACCCCCCCTTGTTGCCTTGTGGATGAAGGATTGATTTGTTTATTCTGCAACTATTTTCTGCATTTATGGAGTTGTTTTACTGGATTATTTTTGCTGAGCAGGTATCTGGCAACACCTTGGCTCTCTAGCCCACACCTCCAGACGTCCTTCATAAATTTCTTTGGGCGACCTCCTGTTTTTACATACAGAAGGTAGTTTTTCATTTGAAATGTACTATCTCAACTTAGCCAAGGTATAATTTCATTTTTCTATCTTCCGCATGGTGTATTCATGTATCTCTTTACAGGCCTTGAAATATTTTTCTTTCATATTTTTATTTCAATAAACCATTTTTCACCTCTAGTTTGCAAATGGACTCCGGATAGTTTATGTTCTTGGGGAACATTTATATTAGTTATAGAATCCATTCCTCTTCTTGAACATTTAGGCTATATTCGGAACCAGGAATATGGTAGGATTGCAAACAAAATGCCAAAGATTGTTGTTTTTTAAATGTTTGGCTTTACTTGGGAAAATGTTAAACGCAATCCAATCTGATGAATGCCTTTTAAGATCCTACATAAACTTAGATTATAAATACATAAAAAAATAATTCAAACAAATAGTTTTAATTCTTTCATTGACTCTGAATCCACCCCACCCCGTAAACAAAAAGAAAAAAGAAAAGAAAAACTTTCCTTCCAAAATATCCATCTTTGCTCCATATTTTCTTTCCTTGGTATTTTCAGGTTCCAAACCAGCCCTTAGTATGTATTTGCTCTTCAGTATATTGTGCTTTGGTTGCATCTGACCATTTCCATCATGAGTTCTTTCAGACAAATATTTAATGCATCTGATGGCGGGACTTTTGCTTTGGATTGGGTCTTGAAATCAGATGGTAATTTACTTCCTTTTATGCTTCCCTATCCCGCTGAATTGCTGGTGTTTTGTTCATGTTTGTCTTTTGAACTGATTGGTTGAATTTGAGCCAAAGCAAAAATTTTACCATTCCAATTCATTGATATCATTAGGGAAAGCCTGTGCTTTAATCTTCTTAGAGATTTTTAGCTGCTAATTACATGATTAAAATTTATTTTAAGCGTGAAAGTTTATATTACAATCTTTGGTAGCTGGATATTAAGCAGTCAGTGGCATATTTCTCAAATGCATTAAAGGCTGCAATGACTATTAATTAGGGATCAACTTATTTCCTGTATCCTAAGTTGAAAATAACATGAGGTGAATTGTTGAACTAATTGTATTTTGTTTTCCACTTACAAGTTACCGACATGCTCCTCTTACAGTTTCTGGAACTGCTACTGACAAGAACATTACCATATCTAAGGATGATACGACTCCCATCGTGGTAGTGATACCAGGATTAACTAGTGATTCTGCTTCCCCCGTAAGTTTTAAGATACTTTTGAACCATATCTGCACTTGAAATCAGTGATCGTTGCATCTATCATCTAGATTTTCATCTTTTATTATTTTTTCAGAATTGCAAATTATGAAAATTGTGGTGCGTGTGATTTTTCATAATAATATATAATATACAGAGTAGTTGCCGACTTGCCGTTATGTATCTTTCAGATAAGTGAGATAACTCTCTAATTTGTAAATTTGTTTTACAATGGTGCATTGCAGTACCTAAAGCATCTTGCCTTTAACACTGCTAAATGTGGATGGAATGTTGTTGTCAGCAATCATCGAGGATTAGGCGGTGTATCAGTCACTGTTAGTTCCCTTTTCCCACTGAATCTTTCTTTTCTCCCATGTGAGAAGTCAATTAATTTGCACTATATATTTTAAGGCCACAGACCTCAACAACTTGGGATTTAAGTGCTGATAATGATGGTGAGTGAATGGAATAAGCATTATAAGTTAAGAGATTCATATATAATTTGATGCAGTATGAATATCAATTGGCTTACTTTGGAATTTTGAGATGGCAAGGTCGAAAAATATTATATGATTTGCATATAAAACAATAACAGTTGAACATAAAGAAACAGAACATACTATGCATTGATGAGTGAAGGTTGACTGATTTCATAAAGGTGACCTCTTTGAAGCAATCTAATGCATATAAGGCAGAAGCACCATCTTACTGTTTTATTTTTCACTTATTTTTTTGTAAATTGTAGCGGCTAAGCATAGCCATAGCCTAGATATCTATGGAGTTACATTAAGTTGCATGGCATCCTTTGCGTTTGGTGAAGTTGATATACATCTGTCTAATAGTAATATACCCCAAAGAAAACTCTAGTGTTTGGCATATTTGTGTCAATTGTGTGTGTGTGTGTGTGCGCGCGCGTGTTAAAATACATTCTTAAGTTATTTATTCAGCCAATGTGTTGGGGTGTAAAGGAATGAAGTTAAT